GCCCGGCGGCTGCGGACCTTGCCGGGCGGGAGGTTTCCTTCCTGTCGCGATAACCCCCGACAGCCGGGGTTTACCGCCCTCCTCATGTATGCCTCGCGGAGGGCGGTAGAACGATGGGAGCTGTATCGCCAAAACGAGAGGTCCAGGAGGGTCACTGTTCTGTCCTTTCATGTAAGTTAAGCACAATCAAGGTGCATAAGCTTGAGCCTTCTCTACATCTCTCGTGTGACTAAAAGCTTCAACCCCTGACATTTATTCCAGATAATAGCTCTCTACCACTGGATAACATGTGTCAGAATGAGTACTATTATTCTAGAGAAACGTCTGAGTTCAGCTTCTTCACGCAACTTCAAGGATGGTCTTTTCACCACTACAGATAGCTCAAGATATCTGTGATACCAAGTTTTTTGGTTTTAGTTTCAAAAAACCCTGAAATCTGAATCTCACTGAGCATTTTCATCACATAGAGATAGGTACAGTACGCAAGCCAAGATCCTGAACACTACCCTTCACTCTGCTTCCTAGTTATTCTAAGCCACGCTCTTTCCTCTCCCCTTCTTAAGGGAGGGCGAACCAGCAAGCCGAAGAACAAAAAGGTGTGCTTCACCTCAGCCCTGGCCCCGTTTCGAAGCCTCCACACAAAAGAGCACAAAGAAAAAGGATATCACTGCTTTGGCCTACAAGGAAGGAGGACCAAAGGATAGAACAGAGCCCACAGTGGCAGGACTACTACTTACAACCATGGTTCCCACCTCTTAAAAGAAAAAAAAAATAGGACCTATACATTTAAACATTAAACAGTCAGGCTCTGGTTTATGCCAGACTAGTAGGATCAATTTTTTAATTATTATTTTAAGAATCCCAGCAACATATAAGGCACTAAAGGCAGTGCTCAACCTGTGTCTGTATGTTTTCCAGCAACAATGACTGTTTCTGCATTAGAAAGCTGTTATAAAGACAGCAAACAGGAAAAAAAAAAAACTTTTACAGGATGTTCCTTCGATACCTATATTCATTAGAAAGCAAGAGTGTTTTAGAGAATCACATCTCTGTTTTGTTTGAACCTACCAGCTCAAAAAACATTGTTTATTCTGTAGATCACTGCTCAATCCAATGTTTACCACACAAGAAGGACATTTTAGAGGTAGATAAGGAAATATGGGATTGTTCTTGTGCCTGTTTCTCATGCAACTTTGTGGAGGGATGGCAATATCCCCCCCTTTTTCTAACAGCACACAGATCGCTTCTGGATAAGCACAATTTGGTGTAAGAGAAAGATTTAGGATCGCTTCTGGATAAGCACAATTTGGTGTAAGAGAAAGTCTTCTTATCTGAAGACTTGTACATATAGATCCTAGATATAGAAAACTTTTCTATGCAAGGCTATGGTATTTTTACATCACTAATGTACTAAGGGTATGTTTTAGGAGTAACTCCCACCCTAATTATTTTGATCTTTTGAAAGACCCAGAGGACATACGCAGTTGATGAACAAGTGTGTGTTTTCACCTGAAGAGGATATCCTATCAACTATTCAAATTTTTTGTACTGTTCAAAGTACTTGTATTCTATAAAGCAAAGTATTAAACAACTGTAACAAAACCAACATCAAGCTTTTATTATTTCAAACATTACAGAAGTTAGGGAGCAGTTTAAAAAAAAGTGAAAATGCCCACATTTAACATCTAGAAGTTTGTCTGCAACTATAGGAACACAACTACTTGACATCGATCCAAGAGAAAACAGGTACTAATGATTCTGAAGAATCAAAAAAAATTTGTTTCCACCAGCGATCTTGGAAAGAAACTTCTCAGTAATAGTCTAGAGTATGAGGTAGCGTAAAGAAACTAAATCAGATCTGTCAAGTAAAGGATATTTTGCACTGTACATATGCTATCATCTTTACAAAAAACGGAACCTGAGAATGTAAACTTCTTAGAGCTGCATCTCTAGTTTTGTTTCTTGGGAATTTTTTTTTTGAAGAAAAGACTATAAGATCAGATAAACTGAAACCAGAGTTTTACTATTATCTTCAACTGGGCAGCGTTTCACTTCAACAGATTTACTTGATAAATATGTTAGTTCGTAAGAGGGAATTAAGTGAATCATCATCACATTTCTCCCAGATGTATGTAAAATCAAGGGACTAGGAAAGTCATCAAGAGTTCCTCATATGAGAGATTAATTACATTATATATAAATATAAAAGACTGCGGTATTTAAAAAAGCAGATATATACTTTAAAGAACACCACGAGGCTTCAAAGAAGAGCAAGTTTTCCCCTATTTTTTTTTCCAGCACAACACCACAGCATCTTAATCAGACATTCTAATAAATGGAATTACTGTATGTAAACTACATTTTAAATCTTTAAAACCAAACTGAGCCCAGAAAACTATGACTCAATGAAGCATTGGTTTAGACCCCACTTCCACTTCAATTGTTTCCCCCCATTCACTTATGCAGATAACTGCTTGTTAAGATAAAAGTGAATATTGAAGTACCTATGCAATATCTAAACGAACGTAACACTTTGTACTTCTGGTTTGTTACAAGTACACAGGTACCAAAACGACCAGCTTAATCATTTTCAAAGAGAGGAATGTGTATTGTTACTTTACTGAAAGGAAACCTTTAAAACAATTTAATGTGATTTCTGTTTTGGCTTCATTCAGATTAACCAAAGCACATCAGCACTCAAACCCCACTAACCAGTTATTTACACTCAGCAGCATCAGGAGAAAATACACAAACACTTGTAAAACTCTCCGTCTTCACAATCACAAAATGTTACACTTGTGGATACTTTCATGAGCCCCTGCTGGAAGACTGAAGATGTAGCAAGTTAAGGAAGTAGTTCTCAAGCATTCCAATAACATACCACTTTCATAAAAAACACAAAACCTGTTTAAATACGCATCGGTGTTTGCCAAGAAAGCCACTAACCAGGCCTTTCCTATTTAAATAGGAGATGGAAACAGGCATAACTAGAGCAAACTCTGTACAACACCAGAGAGAAAGAAAATAATTAACAAGTCATCTGAAAGTTACAACATTTGCCATTCTAGCAACATTATTCATGAACTGTTCTCTCACCAGAGGTGTTTAAATGCATGGTACTTCTGAGGAAAACAATTACACTGACATTAAGATGCCAAGAAACCAGGATGGCCACTGAAAAAACAGAGGCATTAAACCTCAATAATTTGGGCCTCAAAATTAAAAAGTTATGTCAAAATTGACTTGCAAGTCAGCATGGACCTTTTCTACTTTTGAAGACAGTGAATGTTCTAAATCCATCTATTACCTTGATCTCAAGTATATTTTTGGTTTATTTAATGACCATTTTTTTCTATTGTGTTGCCAGTATGATTATTTAGGTTAATAAATAAGATCTTCCCAACCTTACCTCAAATCTCAATAAGGCAATTTTACCTTTCCCCTTTCACAAAACAGCATGGAGAAAAAGGATATCATTGCCTCGGACTGCAAATGGCAGAGTAGCTTCTCTAGAGGAGGATAGCGGCACAGGGATGGAACACAGCCCACCATGATTAGTTTGTGCTTGGCTCTTGTGATAGCAACATTAAGACGTCGCCAATCCTTCAGGAGGGTGCCAAGCTGTTGAATAAACATAACTTGCTTTTATTCTTTGATTTTTCCTAATTAGTTTTCAGAATTTAATGTAGACGCATTTTGAAAATGAATGTTTTAACTATTAAAATTGACTGAAACAAAAGGTAGTATGATCAACTTACATTTTCATCATTACTGTTCCTAACAAAAGATACAATTATGATACTTTTGTCTCTTCCTTGGTATTTGTCTACTGTGTTGACTTCCACCCTGTTCTCCTTCAATTTTGCCATCAAATCAGTGATCATTTTTAATTGATGCCTGTATGGTGATATAATGCCAATGTCTGAAGGCTTACAGCCAGCCTGAACGAAAAAGAAACAGAAGGAAAAAAATTGTGACTGCTGTTAGCTTGGGATATGCATTGTCAGAAATCCAAGGATTTTATTTTTCTTTCCAACACTGCTGCAAGATCTTGTATCTACACTAAGTAGTCAATGGAACTCTACATATAACTGGTATTAAAGAAAATAGAAGATAGTAGTTACTGCAAGCTCCCATGCTTTGTCTTCACAGCAGAAAGACAGATATTGTGAAATTCTCATCTTCCTTTCTTCCTCAAACTGTGAGGTGAACATTCAGAACTCCTGGTGTGTACTACTCCTTAAGTTGACTGGATAAAATAAGGAAGGAAGGAAAACCCTCTCCCCTCCCTCCCAAGAAAGTCCTCATCTCTTGAAAGAATTTTGCATCCAGCTTTTTTTACATCCCAAATACAACCAGGCAGGGGACAGGGAACTGAATGCAGACCCCGAGCTCCTCACTATACTGACAACGTCACCAATCTTCAATTTATCCCTAAGGTTATCTGTCAAAGAATAGTCTGATACATATGACCACCATTACTATAGCAATGTAAAAATGATTCATCATAAAGCTGTCCCTCTGAACAATGTAATAAAGTAAAAGATACCTTAATAAATAAGGATGTTAGGAGGAGTACTAGTTTAGCTTCTGTCACATTACTTACACCACCTTTTTCTGCATGTTCTGGTGCTGGGACCTTTAAAAATATAAACAGAAAATAATGACTTGTGCCATCTACATGGGCATACTATATTCTGATCCCTAACTCACCGTATCATATGTGTCTTTGTACTAACAGTCTTCACAGAAAATAAGGCTAAATGCTAAGTTTTACAGGCTATAAGAGTCTATATTGTAAAGTAACATCAGGATACTGCATTTGCAATACAAGTTGAACCAACCTGCTTAAATGAGTTTCTAGTACTAGCAAGTCACCTTAAGAAACTGCCAAAGCTCGATCATGTGACTTTCAGTTCACACCATATACACCATCTGAAAAAAAGGACATTTCCCAGCCTGACAAGGTAAGAGAGCAAACTATACTTACTTGACATATGACTTTAGTTTAAGGCTTTTGCTGGGAACATCATTGTAAGGATTTTTCCACATTTCTATAGCAGAAAGGATTTTTTCTTTTTCAAGTGTTGAAAGCCTATATTTAAAACTACAGGAAAAACTATCCAAAATGGTAGTATTAAATTTAAATTCCAAATTTTAAAAAGTTTTCACCGAATGCACCATTTCTTAACTATTAACTCCCTTTCCCTGCATCCTGTATGAATGAGACCAGAAAGCCAGGAACAAGCTTAGAATGTAAACTCTTGTCATTTTGGTACCACAATTTCATAATCTATTCTCTTTGCTTAGCTCTCCCCTTCTCTAAAGTTTAAGAAGTATCATTAGTACAGAATGTGTCCCTAATGTCACCCTTCTAGTAAACTGGCATGCAGCTAAACATCTAGGGTCAAGTAATAAGCCTTTTCGTTTAGAAATAGTCTAAAGCCCAGCATACACTAACCTGCTTTCTGGCTCCCAATTCCCTTTTCCACCTTACTCATTTATTGCCATTTACTACTTCACTCGTTCCACTATTTGCCTCTGATACTAGTGACATACATCAACTTTGTTTTCTTAGGTGCCACTTTGTTCAATTTTCGTTTTGAATTTTTATGACAGCATTCCCACTTAAAATGGGAGGTGGTATGGTCTTTACTTAAAGCAACACGCTCAGAAGCCTATTACAACTAGTTTTACTTCTTTGAAGAACCACCCCAATATCATCTGAATGGCTGAATTTGGAAATCATTATAGCATTTAACACATGGGTAAAGTAATACATAGTTAATATTTGTAAGAGCATTCCAGGCAAGTGGTTGCTAGAGCAGTACCACTGCTCATGTGTACAGTCTGACAGCATACGATACGCATCAAACACTTCACAAATCCAGGAATTCAACTGACTGGGTGGGTCATTAAGTGTAATCTATGCTCAATGCCTAGCATACTAAAGCATTGCAAATGAACGAAAAACCTCCAATAGAAATTTACCGGCCCGTATGTGACACTGCTGCAACTCTATATAGCAGTCTTTTTGAGGCAGCACATACATATATATTAATAGTAGGCTACTGTATCCACAAGTTTATTTTAGGACTGCAGCCACATGCAAAAAAGTAGTCAGCATTGTGCCGATTAAGTAGCATGCTACCTACTTCAGCAAGAATCCTATTTTTCTGCAACATGCCCTCCAAGCTTCTTTTACATGACATAATATGTTTCTAATATGTTGTGTAGATTATAGAAGCAAAAAAATTTTCCTTCATATTAAAAGATTCCATTGCCTTTTCCACAACAGCAGCTTTTCCATAGCTTGTGTCTCAACAGTTACACAGCTTAATACTTACTGCAAGATAAGCTGTTTGTACACCGCCATCATGCACTCAGTCTAACTGTTACGACCTGTCATATCACAACTGAATTAAGAGCTATACTGTTATAGCTATGCTGTTTGTTTGTTGGTTGTTCTGTTTGTTTGTTTTAAATTCACTATTCTGAAAACATCACACCCAAGAAGCCTCCGAACTTGCATGCACTCACATTTTCTTCAAGCAGAAGAGCACTGTTTTAATGAACAGTTGGTTTCTATCCACACTAGCATTAGTATAGCCAAAAACTATACAAAAACTGTTTCAGGGGAAACAAGTTCTACAAGCTAGGTCATACTTATATTAACACATGCTTACATTTATATTTACTATGTTCCCATAGTACACAAAAAAAACCCCAACCTCAAACCCACCAACTTTAGCCTAGTATTATTCAGAAGTCTGGCCTTAAATCAAGGATATAATTTTTCAACATTCAGACCCAGGCTGTCAGAGGAAGTGCAGACTGACACAGCGTTTGGCAGAAAAGGAACAAATAGATTTCTGATTACTGTCACAAACATTCCACATTATTAAACAGAAAACAATAGAAGCTTTTTTCTTTTTTAAAAAAGTAAGCATAATAAATGCAAGCTTCCTGGTGGTGTTGTGATATTTTTTTTCTTCTCCTTTCTCCCCTTTTGTATTCTCCCCCCACCCCCTGCCCCAAGTATATTTCTTCCGAAGCTTTTCTTGGTTATACTACAAACAACAGTATGCAAGGAAAAAACACTATAGAGTCAAAGAAAACAAAATAAATGCTGATTTTGTTTGGGTTTGTGTTTGGTGGGAGTTTTTGGGTTGGTTTGTGGGTTTGTTTTTTTTTTCTTCACCCTATTTCTTTTTTCCTCTATGACTACCACAATACATGGAGTTGTGACAGGAAGTCTAAAAAAGAGATACGACATTATAGCCTAATGTCTCAACAAAACCAAGAGTATTTTGGAAAGTGAAACTTTCCTGCTGGTTCTACAAAGAGAATAGCTGTCATACTCAAGATGGGTTTTCTAGAGAAGAAAAAAAATAAAATTGAACAGAAATTCTAGCTTTCATATTACCAATTTTGGTCCAAATAACAGATGAACAGTGTATCAGCCAGTTTCCTACTGGAAGAAAGCTAGGACCAGCTGTCTGCCTTTCTGTGAAAAGGACAGCAGCTATTGAAGCATTCCTGGAAAAGGCCTCCCTGTTTAGTTTAGGCATTTTTAGAAGTTCCTCTAAGCCACTGTTTCTTTTCTGACCATTTTCTCACATAAACACTGTTTCTTTTCTGACCATTGAAGAGACTCTATCAGAGTTGTTATGAAAAAACATGAATCCTGTATAAAGTCCTGGAGAACACAGAAAGGCCAGGCAGGTCTTTCCAGGGTCAGCATAAAAGCTCATCAGTTGATACAATTATTGGCAAAACACAGTTACATGTTTTACCCTACCTAAGCTGTATGAAGTTTTACATGTTGACTGTATTGAGAACTTGCATGAAAGATACAAATTTTGAAAGAAGAACATAACAAACTTTACCTTCTCTGTGTTCAGAAAGCACACAGGTGTGCCTGGATCAAGTACTTCTTTCAACCATGTTTTTGAAGCATCTGCAAGCTCCAGATTCAGCTTTTTTAGGTTGGGCAAGTCAACAGTGGCACTTGACACCTTCTCTGAGCCACATTCCAGTTTGCCTTCATACACTAACATGTTACTCAGTGACATAATTTTACTACAGATTTAAAAAACAAGAAAAGGCATCAAATCTTGCAGTTTCAATCCCACATTAAAAAACTCACTGTAATAAGTAAAAGTTTAAAATACCTATTCATTCTGTATTGCACAGTTAATTGGACAACAGCATTTTGGTTTTGTTCCAGCCTTTTAAATAAGCTTTCACTCATGCCAAGATCTCTGGTACAAAACAAAAAAAAACCCAAAAATGTGTCAGGCAGAATATTGCGAGACCCTTCCCAGAATTCACGTTACTAGTAGTTGTCCAGCACCATTTTATCTTACCTTGCTTCTGCATTCAGTACAAGTGGAGGCAGCTGCTGATGATCCCCTACCAGCACAAACCTTTTGGAGCAGAATAGTGGGCCCAAACAGATGAGCTGGCTTATTTGGGAAGCTTCATCAACTATACAGAAATCAAATTGCTTCTGAATAAAGATGGGGTGATTTACTCCCATGCAAGATGTTGCTACCACTGGCTGAAAATTGAGACACACTTTAAGGATAAGATACATCCCATATCTTTTAGCACTACATTTTCCAGGTTAAGAGGCAAAAATAATCTTTCCCATTAAACTGAAGTGTAAGATAAATCAAATTATTAATCCTTGAAACCAGACCAGCACACCTTGCATACATATTGGCCTCTCATATTCTTACATCAATTGCAAATGACAAACAAAAACCAGCTTTAGAACAGACTGTAGTAAATAACTCGCTCCTGCCATACGTTGAGTGATATGAGGTTCTATACATATAGAATTCATGGAGCGTGCTGAAGGGACTACCTTAGAAAACTACGTGTTTTGTTTTAATTCCAAAAAGATAAAACACCACCAGTACAGTTCTTCTCACCTCTGTGCTTCTACTGCAGTCCGAAATGACTAAAATGTGAAAGGTTAAGTCACTTCCCTTATAACTTCAATCTTTTCCCTGCAATGCCCATCAACAAAGTAGTAAATGGTGGCTTTTGTGATGTTGGCATTTACTCCAACTACCACGAAGCTTTGTTCTTTCAAAGCATTTAAAGCTGCCACTGACTCAGTTTACCCAGCTCCCACTAGGGTCCTTTGCATTAACATTCACACAGGCAGCACTAACCTTTCAATCAAAAATTAGTGTTTGACCAGATCAGCTCCACAGCACACCATTCCCCCCCATTCTCCAGTTGTACAAATGGCACAAGTGGGAGGGAAAAGGGACAAACAGGAACAATATGTGAATAAAGATAGAGGGAGTCACAGCAGTTAATCACCATCCCCTTAAGGGATAGAGTTGTCACGGAACCACAGTTTAAAAGACTTAGGAAAGACCACTTTAGGAGAGGATATGTGTAAACAATCCAACACAAGATCTCAGATAAAAGCACTGGAGCCTTTAAGAATTATTACTTATAATGATTAGTTATTTGATGTAGACATAAAAATTACTTTTAGCTCTCAAACTGTTAATATTGGTCATTATTGGCTATAAAGAAATTGAAGTGATGCAGAAACTGAGTGTCTTTTTCAGCTCAGATTTCTCACACCAGTAACACACCCCTGGGATGAGTTCCTTCTCTGCAGTATCTGAACAACCAGAATACTAATTGTAATTATCCTTAATATTTTGCAGGGCTAGTAAAAACACTTTTCTCACCTGACTGTTATAGACCTCTTCCAAATCCGTTACAGATTTAATTGATTTAGACCTGCAAATTTCTTCTTCTGTAAATTTCCGTATATCTGGATGAACTTTCTGAGCTCGCCCCAAGCGCAAGAAACCAACTTTGAATTTGGCTAGCTTTAGCAGGATATTGTCTACAGCGGTGTGTGTAAAGCTAGTCAGAAGAACACTGAAGCCACAAGCAGAAAGAATTCTCACCTAATGAGTGGCAAAAGGGAAAAAAAGAAAAAAGTATTAGTTTACATAAAAGAATCAGCAATCCCATGTTTGACTGGGTTAAAAAAAAAAACGAAACAAGAAGCTTCAGAGGAAGCCAGTAACAAGTATGACTTCATTTATTTCAGTCTTTCTGGCCAGTGAGCTATTGTCAAAGCAATATGAGCAACACACCTGATGGTTCTGATGCATGCTGCAAACAGTGCGAGCTATGAACATCCATGCACACTCACAAACTGCACTGAAAAGAAAGAACTGCACTCTAAAGATCTCCGCTGTAAGAACAAGTCATGCAGCCCATTCCCACACACACTGTTCTAACCCATGACAATTTAGCCACAACAGATTCAGTAGAATGAGCCAATCTGATAATAGCAGCAGCTGCTTGTTCTCCTCTTTCCCCACGAGCTGATCACAACTCAAAGTGAGAAGACACTGCTATTTCAAGAAAAAGTCACTCAGCCCACAGCTTAAATCCAGTATGGTCCTACAGGCCATTTCTGGTGAAAGAAAGCCACCAACTAGAGGAGATGGCTACCAGACTGCACATAGCTTCAGTACCATGGGTTTATACAATTTACAATGGACAAGTTACTGACTTCCCCAAGGAGTTCCTAATTTTGAGCTGTAACTCTGGATGCGAGAACTTGCTGACATTCGAGGCCAAAAAATTTTAACAGTGAAGTGTCACAGAAGTGAGTGAATATCACACTTCAATCTCCTCTCCCCCACATATATTCCTGCATAAGCAAAAGAGAATCCTACTCCACAAAACACATTTTTAGTTCCACCAAATACAAGTTCCTAAGTAAAAAGAAATGGTTTCTTCTTTGAAATTATGCAGATACCTGTAGACTAATTCATTACAATTAATTTTGGACAGTATACTTCATACAGTTTGTTTAATGCTCTCCTCCAAATCTCAAAGAAATTTAAACATCAAGGTACACAATCTTACTAGAGCGCATATCGTAGTAGTTTTTCCTGTTCCAGGCATACCCACAATAAGTGTGTAGTCTTTTGAAAGTAGTACTTGTTTCATTGCTTGTTTCTGAGGCTTATTCAGACCTTTAAAGAAGAAAAATAAAAGTTAAATGCCTGTATTTCATAGTCATTATAACGGTTGCTAAAGATAGTAAAACAAAACTATAGTTTTCTCCTCCACTGAAGCCCTTAAAGAGGAGAATCGAGCAGAGTAAGTCTGTAGGTTCTAATGAAGTAATGATATTAAACATAATACTCAGACAAGTAGTACAGGGTCTGCATTACAGTCCTAGAAATAAATCGCTGAAGACATCTATATTCTTAGGCCTTTTGTGGCTTCCTTCTAATATCCTAAACAATCACCTCCATATGCTATCTCGTATGAGCATTTCTATTTTGTCATACCCACTTTCACATTCAAACACATGGCTCACAGCAAAGGCAAATGAACTGCATATATAGCATCAACTTGCTTAGAAGAAACATTACATCAGAGCTGTTTCTCCCCAGTCTTATGCAAACAGGCAGCATGTTCCAGCTTAAGCAAAACAATAAGAAACGTCTGGGTTTACCGGTGCCTTTCTGTGAAGAAAATACATGGCTTGCAAGTTCAGGAAGACATTGTACTCCCTGTCTTCAGTACTACTTAATCTTTCTTGAGTTTCAGAATAACTGCCTTCCTCTCATTTTCTATCCTTTCAGCAGCTTTCCAGGAAGCTGGGCAAAATTCTTATTTTAAGTAGTCCTCAAAGCAACAAGGCACATCTTTCATTCTTAAGGCTGAGCTTTTATAAGAAGTTCTATTTGCTAAGAGAATTCCGTTAAATTTCTGATTTCAGACAGCTCTGTCAGAGACCAATGAAGTATTTTCACTGAATGAGACACTGCCAAATACCTAAACAAATTTTGCTTAAAAAAAAAAGTGCCCCAAAGCATCACACACTACAGAGTAGCCAACGGTCAGGAAAAGAGATTACACAAGTGAATGCTTACACAAAAGCCCATCTCCTACCACTCCCTCAAAGCCTGCTTCCTCTGATCCCAAGAGTCTCCCCTGCTCCCTGTTCCTTCCTTTTGTAAAGGTTAGAGAGATAGTCACATGGCGCTTTGTTTGAAACTGCAAGCTGCAGCAACTAATACAAGTAAAATAAAGTTCTAATCAAATATCTGGTCATGTCTTCCTACCACTTTACGACTAATTTAATCACAGGAAGACATGCAAGGTAAGAGCTTGGTTTTAATTTTTAAGCCAAAAAACTATCACTAGGCCCCAAAGTAGGAAAACACCCTTATATTTAGTGTTGTGATAAATACTTTGGCTATAGAGACATATTACTAAACAGAAGATTTTGGGGAAAACCACTTTGTACCCTTTAAAATACTTGCAACAGTTTCCTTTGCTTCTGGAGGGAGGACAGAGCTCAAATGCTGAATAAAACGTGGTTTGTGGAAGTCAATTATCAAGTTGCGGAGCCTTTCACTGTGGATAAAAAAAAATAATCAAGAGTTACCGAATGAGAAACTTTATCTGAAAATAATGAAAGTGGGAAACTAATTTGATTTTTTCATACCTGACTGGGGAATCTTTCATCAACTTAGAAAGGTTTTCAAAGGGCACTCCTACACCAAAATCTCCTTCTTCATGATCCAACCTAAATACAGTGTTCTTGGGGAGCTTTGACAAATTCCTGAAGGATGACAGTAACATGGACAAAATAATACTCTTTACAAGCAGCATGTTGATGATTCAAGACTTAGTAGTACTAAGTGTTAAGTGATAGCTCCCAGCGGTCCTAGAGTAAAGCAGTTAGCTAGGAGTAACAGTGCTGACTGATTTAAATAAAACATGATAAGAGCTCAATTTAAAGGCAATATAGTCTGAATAATGAAAGTTACAATTAACATAGTAATCACAGTAGTCATATAGTCTCATGCTGGAGACCTAAGTAAATTGAGTTTGCAAGCATAGTTTCATTCTAACAACCTCGTTCAATAGCCAGGCATATGCACTGACCAAATATTGACATTTTCAATCAAGATACAAGAATTTCCAAAGGGTACTTCCAAGCCCAGCAAGAAGTCAGACCATATCATAGCTCTTTGGACACCTAGGAGTACCCTTCCTGAAGCTAGTACCATAGTGTCTTCAAACAGATATTTTCCCTTTTGTTCTATTACCTGCCCAACAAACAGGAGACTTTTGTCACACTGACTTCTCTAACATAGCCAGTAGCCAAACCAAGTAAACCATTTTCCTCTCCACTCACAACCACTCTATCACCAACCAATAGGTTTGTTCCAGGTATGGCACTATCTTTGCGCTGAAAAAAATGTAGATACTGTCCCTCAGAAATTTCCTGCACTTGACCAATTCTGATCATGTTTCCAATACAATCTCCAGCCTTCTCTCTGTGAAGATATTAGAAAAAGAAGTGTATTTTAATATCAAGATCCTGTCAGTAAGAGAGATAATTAAAAAAACCACAAGTAAAAAACCCACACCACCCACAAACCAACCACCAAAACCAAAAACACACTGAAAAAAAAAAAATCCCCAAAACAGCAATAAAAGAACCTAACCCAAACACATACAACAAAACAGGAAGATTAAACAGTCACTTTACAATAGCCACTTCAACAAGAAAAGGATTGTAAAAATATGTGGAGCCCTTGTACTTGTTCCAAGAACAGACTCCAATATTTAAGCTAAAGTTATCTGTAATTTCCTGTTAAAGAACAAACACTGAAATGTATGGACCCACTTCACTTATGGAGTTGCTTGTTTCACTTGAAACAACTCAGCTACATTTCACTTCTACAGATGCATTGAAGCGAGCCTAGAAACGGCCAATTATTTTTTCCACAGCTGCTGGCCTAGGTGATATCTAACAACATGCTATTTCAGCCAACAAGAGGCCTCAGTCTGCTTTTATCCACGTTCATGGCCACATCTAGGAGTATGGTCCAAATCGCATCACTGTTTGTCAAGCAAACCCTCAGGAAACCAGCACAAGGAGCCGGGCTCACAGTCAGCACCCAGACTCAGCCCACAGACACAAACGAAGCATGATTATACCACTTTTGCTTCCAAGTGCAACTTTACAACAACAAAAAAATAAATATCATATTGCAAATACAAAACAAATTAATCTAGTAGGCTAATGTCCCAGTTAGGCCACATCTTACAAAAAAACCTACCTTGCAAGAAGCACATTTGACTATTTCTAAAAGCGCTAGGAAACATCAGTTTTCCTTGTAGTGAAAACACAAGTTAGTAATGCTTCATTTCCAGTTACAAAAGGAGGCATCATTTGTACCAGAAATTACATCTTACCTTTCTGAAGCAGGTATCATCCATATGTTTTTATATCCCTTTTTATGCTCTCCACTTTCCAGCTCCAAGGTTAACATTAGATACCACAGGCTGAAATACTCTAAGTGCGAGGGTTTCAGGTGCTGGGTCTCTCTTTCAATAATGGGTACCACAGCAGGAGGAAAAGACACACTGGCCATCTTTTCTTCTACAGCTCTAGGAGTAGAACCAAACGCAGGAAAGAGTCACCTTGTATCTTTTTTTCTTGCAAGTCTGTATGTACATAATGCCAGTCTAAATGCATACTGTAACACAGCAGATAGATTACTATCACAAAAACACAGAATCATTAAGGTTGGAAAAGACCTTCAAGATCACCAAGTCCAACCATCAACCCAACACCACCATGCCCACTAAACCATGTCCTGAAGTGCCACGTCCACATGCATTTTAATACTTCGGGCGATGGTGACTCCACCACCTCCCTGGGCAGCCTGTTCCTATCATCACTGAAATAGTTGAATCTGCATCCTTTGTTCATGTGAACAACCTCATATAGTAACTTTACATCATCTCTACGATTTTGAATTATTAAGGCCAGTAAGTTAGTCAAAGACTGAAGACTTTTCAAGGCAGTACTACATACATGTAGATAGTTGATCTTTTATTCCTTTTTTTTTAATAAGATATTAATACTATATCAAGATTTGGCTAAGCAAAGGGGATTTAACACTTAAAACACAAGCAGACTTCAAGACTATTTATTTCAAAAGTAAGTATCAATAGACATTTCACCTAATCACACATACAAAATGCAACCAAAGAGAAAAAAATTAGTTCAGAAGTCAATAGCTACCCTATTAGTAACATATTCAGTTGCTACAGTAACGGGATTTAGAAGTAATATTTCACAAAAAAAAATTTACAAAAACATATCATATATGCCCACAAAGCTAGTTCCCTCAACATACACTTTTACCCCTACAATTTTAAAAACAACCAGGCATTATATTTATACAAGATCACCCCAAAATATCTTCAGTGTACAGTTATGCTGCATAAAAAACAGAAACAAAAAGACAAGACTAAAACTTATAACAGTTTTAAAAATAATTTGATAACTTCATGTGAAAATTTATCAAACATTTGTTCATGACTTCAATTTAACAGGAGATGCAATGACACTTCAGCAGAGTAACATCAATGTATCATTACTTGTGTGATATCCTACAGGGAAACAACCTCCTACAGAGCCAAAGTGCTGTTCTCCAGCTCTTCAGCCTCAGCCTCAAAAGACTACCCACTTCAGAGAGCTGCAAGAGTACAGCTTTTAAAAAAAAAAAAAAAATCACAATTATTATTAAGAACTTATCTGTTATCATCATCAAGTATTCCTTTGAGACTTATCTCAGATTTTGTCTGGCTGAAAGTGTACCTGAGCAGACACATTAAGCCTCTGCGAGATCAGGGTCTTGCACTGTAAAAGTTGCGGGGGGGTGGGGCGTGGTCTATGGAACATTCTTTTGGGGTGCAACAGTCCTCAGTAAAGAAATAAGAAACTGTCAACCACAAAAATTAAATCACAGTATCAAAAGCTACAATTATTCAAGCTTATTTAAAAACACAAGTCACACTGGTTTTTTTACCTGCTGTATAGAAAGCAGTTGTGTATTTGGGAGCAATATTTACAGGCTTGACTGTCATCAATTACGGGAGGCAACGCAGAAAGCTGTGATTGCTGTCTTGCCACAGCAGATTTATATGTACTGTGTATTAAGTAGAAGGCCACGTGGTTTCTTAACTTAAGTAATTCTGTCAAGAAAAGAGCAAACTAAGTTGGTGTTTTGGGGTTTGTACTAATTCCTAACTCAAAAGCAACTAGTCATGAACTTTTTAGTCAGTGAAGAAGTGAGTGTTCATATAGCAAGTCCTAGTGGAATATTAATAAAACAATTTTTTAACATGAGCTTATTGGAACTAGTAACATTATATAACAAGTGATACATCTCTAAGTACGGATATGTTCATGAGAGTAAACCTTATTACTACAAGGTTTCATTTTAATTACGATAATTACGGTTTCTGGGGAAGGGGAACAACTTTACCTCTTCGGTCCATGCGAGCTCCAGAAACAGGGTACATAGTACCAGTTTTAAGATAAAGAAGAAATCCAGCTTCAGGATCTACTCTCCGTTCTAAATTCAACAGTGTATACAGAATAACCTGCAAACATTGATATATAAACTTATTACAATGCATTAAAACCAAAATATGTTATAAGCTGTATTTAGTTTCACCATAATTTATATGGATAAGCAGCCATTACTATCACAGGTAATCTGGAAGCTGTAAGTAGTAAGCACCTAACACAAGGACTTCAATTAAAAGACATCTTCCTTAACAAGAGCTTATACAAGGCTACTACCTCTAGATCACACCAGCTGTCTGGAAAGATGTACAACACTAATTCCTGAAGCAGTTTGCCTCAACCTAATACTTGAATGTAGTACGAAGAGACTAAAGAACACGTATTTCAGGATAAAAACTATATAAGTGTTTGAAAGCAGTAAACGTATACAATTCTCACTCTTCAGTTCACTTTCATTTTATATGAGCAGCTTCGGGTATTGTCAGGATTAGCCATCCATAAATCCAGATTATACCACAGACGGTGTTTCACGTTCACAAGACAAAGCAAGTCATCTAATAAAATAAAAAAGTATACGTAGCCACTAACAGTGACATTAAATGTTTGGGTTTTGTACCTGACTTCTGTGCTCTATGGAGTTAGATTCCTTGCCAGACTTGAGCTCTAACGGCATTATTCTAGACTGTACTCCAGACTGGCGATGGATTTTCACCCTGGCTGTAACATCAATCTTCCCCTTCAATCCAAACCTGGGAGACCAGATATTCTCTTCGATGTCTAAGATGTCTACAATCTCTATCTTAGAAGATAAATCTGTTTTTTCACCACTTGACCTAGGAAGAAAATTAAGTCAGAAGTTCAAGTTTCCTTTCATTCTTAACATTAAAAATGTGTTGTAATCAAGTATTTATTATTTTTTGCATTATAGGCACTAACTTTAAAGTGCATCAAGTCTCACACAAACTGTCTTCCCATTAACAGAGGAAGCATATCGGAAAGTTACTTTAAATTGCACATTGGCATGTAGTTTTGCTATTCACCTAAATTTCAAAGTTCAAAAAAGAATCTTAAACTGTTCTTAATAGTTTT